CCCCAAAACCCCAAAACCCCACCATGAAGATATTGCTTAGTTGTGAAGATAATGAAATCATTAATCCTTAATATAGATTGAAATATCCCTTGCTTAATAACTGTATATTAAATTATAAGCTACGTATTAAATATTATAAAGATTAGGCAAAAAAATATAAAAAGAATAAGATTAAATGAAATTTCCTTCAAACTTTCAAGCTAACCAGAATCCTGGTAAATAAAGTCAACAGTTGTCAGCACTTAGTTTAAAAGAATAACAATAGAATACTTATAAAAATTCAGTTGAGGCACAAGGCTTCATAGGCCAGAGTCAAGTCGAAAATATTATTTATACGAGCACCGACACTTCATAGCTATAAAATTAGTTCTTAAAGAATTAATTAGGAGTGAACTAAGATTTGAATAAAAAAAGCAATGCATTGATAAGAAAGAGATCCGATTCTATGTTTTCCGATGAAAGTTGTGATAGTGAGTCTGGTGTCAACAATAGAATCTCAACTAGGAGTAAAGTTAATTTTTCTAAACTTTCGAATGAGGAAAAAATATTGCGTCTCACTAATATGGCTCTAAAAATAAAAAAATTGAAACAGTAAGTAAGGCAAATGAAAATGAATAAATCAAAACAAATTAGAAAACAAACCAGTTTGGGATCACAGCAAATTAATCTAAATCATCGTGATCCTTCTCTTAGTAATGGAAATAATCTCTTGTCTACTCAATAATAAAATATGATATCCCAGGAAAAAGGGTCGTAGTAATTCAGTTATCCAAGTTAAACCTACAATAATATTGCGTCTCTCTAAAATTATTAAAAAATCCAGTTAAATCCATAATAAGCTGAGCATCTCTCTATGGAATATAATGAAGGTCTAGGCTTTAAAAAATACTAAAGTTCTGATAAACCAGAGCTATTATAATAAAAATAATCCTAAACTCCTTTTAAGGACAACCTATATATAAATTAGATAGCGCCCATCAGCAATCGGGCTAATGGATTTATCAATTAAAAGATAAAAGACTTCAGTAAGAATAGTGATAGCTCAGAGGGATTCTAAATTATGCAAGCTAGTGGAAAAGGAAATTCACTTTAAATACTTTAACCAGGAAGTGATTACTTTGAAAAACTCAGATAAAATATTATCAACTACCCTATAAATATATAATAATTCAAACAAAGGCAACCAGAACAAAATATTAACTAAGATAATTTGCAATTCAACTAATAGAATTTTGTGTATACCGCACAGCTCAATTAATAAACGCAGTCCGATCACAATTAAAATCCCCAGCATTAGTAAGCAGACTTGGAGTAACTAATGTTTGAATTTTAACAATATAACAAAAATTCGTGCTGATTTTCCTTGAGGATCAAATGCCATAATGAAGAGCCAAATTTATAATATGCGAATACAACTCATGATTATCACTATTCAATAATAAAATAAATAAAAATATCACTATATCAAAAATTTAATAATGAATTTTACTTTCATATCATGCTTTGATCTTGAATATAGCATTAAGGGGTTTTGGGGTTTTGGGGTTTTGGGGTTTTGGGG